GGCTTTTTTTTAACTTACTCATAAGTTTATTAATACATTTTCCTGTACATTCGTAAAATGAAAATATTTTTGTTTTTATAATTCGCTATTTTTTTTCGTGATTTCTTGTAGACCTTTATTTAACCCAGACTTATTAATATTAATTTTTTTCAATAAAGTTTGCTCTTTGTCACACTTAATTTTAATTTTTTTTCATCCTTTTTATAATTTAAAGCTATTGGTATAATGCAATTATTTTATATATTATTATTATAACTACAGTGGTTCTCAACCTTTTTAGTTGGCGGACAATCGGGTGATCTACTTTTCCGCCAAAATCGACCTTTCCGTTTACCGCCAATACAAAAATATATATTTCCTTTTACCGCCACCACAAATTTCAGTTTCTATATTTTGGTAACCCCTTGGTAATGATTTTTAAAATAACAAAAATAATTAGGTAATCAATTTTTAATAAAATATATGATTTAAAAAAAAAACATTCAAGTGATACTTATAATTAAAATTATATAGAATATTGTATAATATATTACAAAAAAGTCAATATTACGACGTAAAATAGTAAAATACAATATCACAGTCAAACATTTATACTATTTATTTATTTCTTATAGTTATACGCAATTGATTTTACAAATGTATATCGACATATTTCTCCTCTTTCATACTTGTCAATTAAATTCTGGTTTTTTATTTGTCTTCTTAAAATTTGATTTCGTGGTGTTTTTTGTTCACTGACGCTTCTTAGTTTGCAATAAACGTCAGTTTGAACTTCATCAATTAAAACATTTAACCATTGTAAAATAGATGGTGAATGTCGATAAAAACTATTTTTAAAATGTGAATGAAATGACTCACAGGCGTTTGTTGTGCGTGTAAGTTCTGAAGATGCAAGTGCCCAAAGTTTTGGAGGGTAAATACAATCTTCAGAAATATATGTTTCTACAAAATAATCAGAAAACTTTTGTAGTCTTTCATCGATCGGACACTCGCTCATAAAATCGTCGGTGAAACAATCACTTACATCTTCCGGATTTAGAAATAATAATCCAAATATATTACGTAACCATTTACCAATTTCAGATGACTCGTCTTTATACACACTTGATAAGCCAATTTCTTGTATTTTACGGTACCAAGACTGGGTCAAGTGAAATCGGCATCCTGATATATTGGTTTGCGTCCACATTTCAGAAACTGCATTAATTATAACCCTTTCAAAATCCACAGTAATATTAGCTGGAGAAAAATTTAACCCCAAGTCTTTGCATTTTTTGCTTATTGCATGAAAAACATAAATATACGTTTGTTTACATTTATTTGGTAATAAGCAACAAACTAATGGAACATAGTAACCATTAAGATATCCATGAATCGAAAAAAATTGTAAAAAAAAACGAGCACTATAATCGAAAGTTCCGTCCATATAAATATTATCAACTATACATAAAAATCGAAGATTTGTTTCACACGAAAATATTATTATATTTTCTTTTTCGTCATTGACCAATAAAAAATGTTCACTTTGTTTGGTTTTCACGTCAATTAAATTAAGTACTTTGTGAGCATCAGCTATATTAGTAGGATTTGGGGGCATAATTTTCCGTCGGTATTCATAAATATTCTTTCGGATTCTATTTATATCGTTAATGGTTATATCTGATGAATTACTATTTTGTGCGATTTCAGTGAGAATAATTTTTTTTGGTCTGGTACTTACATTTTCAATAGCTTTTCTTTTACATGCTGTATTAAGCACCTGCTTCTTCAATGCTTGGCTGGAATATTCACCATGATTGTGCTGTGGTGTATCTGTATTGTTAATACACATATTATTTTCATCTGTATACACTTTTGCTGTACAATTTTTAGTAGTACACCGCCAACGAATAAGTCCTTTATTACTTGATCCAATTCGAAATTTAAAATTATTTAAAATTAACTGTTTTTTACCACGATTACTTTCAATAATATTTTCCATTGTGCGGAGCGTACTTTTTTTTTCGCGAACTTCAACACAAACTAAAATGTTATAGGTATCGTAAAATCTATAAAAGATCAAACCAGACAAGCGTTATCTTTATTGTCAGTTGTTGCATGAATTTTGAACATAATCTTTCCTCTCTTTTGTATTAATAGAGAAAAAAACATGATTGTGAAAATGTTATCTGCGTGATAAATATACGTAGGTATATAATATAATATTTTAATTCCTTCAATCAACGGTTTGGTTAGGTTTTAAAAATCATTACCAAGGGGTTACCAAAATATTGAAACTGAAATTTGTGGTGGCGGTAAAAGGAAATATATATTTTTGTACTGGCGGTAAACGGACTTGGCGGTAAACGGAAAGGTCGATTTTGGCGGAAAACGGTGACGCCCGGACAATCTGTTATGTAAAATATCTTTGAAACCCACTAATAGCACACATTTAAACGTATGCACATTAAATGTATATATAATAAATGTGTTATTTATTAGAAATAGAAGAATTAAAAATACAATTGCTTATTAAACAAAAATTTATTGAACTTTATTATTACGGGTGCTGATGAGGTCACACAGCAATTTATTAATTATTTTACTAAAGTTAAGACAAACATTATTTTGTATACATTTTGTACATGTAAAGAATACGCGATAAAAAATGGACTGATGTAACTGAGGATACTCATACACAACGGTATGAGATATCAGATAATCAACTGACTTGACCGATTGCCTATCCTTCCGGTGTATTATAGGCATGATGACCAGAAGTACTTATTTTATAAAGACAGTACTGGTTTTTGGTAACATGTCTTACTGTCCTACTGTACTTATTTTTAATAATTTAATAACTGCACATAGAAATGGATTATGGAATAATGTTAAAATTTTTCTAAATCAAATTTAGAGGATTTTAATAAATTATATTATAAAAAAAAAAAGTATTAAAATTGTTATAAAAGATTAAGTAAGAATGATATGATGTGCACTATTTTGATTTTACCGCCACAACGAAAAAACTATTATCACACCACAGATTTAACAATTATCAAGGTAACCACAGTCTTTGTTATCTCAATTAATGATACCTAATAATTTTAATGATTAAAATTCATTATTTATGCGATTTTTTTTTGTTAATTGTTTTAATTTATATTTTAAGATTTGTCCACCTCGCAGAAAGTGTCATTTTAATAGCGATTTACAAAAAAAATTCCGTTTTTAAGTCAATTTCAGTATATATTTACATTGTTTACTATCAAATAAGTAAAAATGAAGTTGATATTTCAAATAGTGGTCGCAGTAGTATTAAAAAACATTTAAGAAAAAAGAAACATCAATTAGCTCTAAATGTTGCCTCATTGAGTGGAAGATAAATAAATTCTTTAATGATAACACTTTAAATTTAGAGAATTTACTAATTGCGCAAAGGAAGGAGCTTTTGCCTACCACACTACCAATCACATGCATACCTTCAAGTCTTTAGATTGTACTTCAAAAACTAATTTCATCTTTATTTAAACCAAAATTTACTCTAGGCAGAACAAAATCTGAAATTATTGTAAAAAATATATTTGCTGAAGAGGCCCAGTCAAGACTGAATAATAATTTACAAAAAATTAATTTTTTTTAGTGTAGTGATAGATTCATCCAATCATCATGAAATAAAAGTTGTACCATTACTTGTAAGATATTTTAATTCTGATAAGTGTATACAAATCAAATTATTAAAACTTAAAGACTAGTTAGGGGAATCATCTGAAATATTAAATGAATATATTTTTATTACTTTATTAAAAGTAGGTATTGTATTTAAGTGTATTAGTTTATCTGTTGATAATACCAACACAAATTTTGATGAACCAAATAGACAAGACAATACTAATTTGTTTAAAAAATTATTAATTCATATTCTACATCTATTATTATGTGGCTCATGTTTTAAATAATTGTATTAAACATTTAACTGATACATTACCCTTTGATATTGAAGATTTATAAATATTTTTATATTTACACTGTTCGTGTCAATAAATTAAAAACAATGTTTTTAAATCTTATGTCAACAGTTTGTTCACAATAATTTATCTTTATTTCATCAAACAATTTTAAAGATCAAAAGTGATAAAGTATGTGCTACTGAAGCTCCATTAGAGTATTTTAAACTTCTTAACACCTTAACTCTTAGAAAAGAAGAATCATTTTTATCCAGTAAAGTTAAAGCATTGTTATAAAAATTTCAGAGTTGAAATCCAAATGAATATGTGTATGGCCAGTTTTCATTACAGGCTGAACATTTTTTTTTTAACTGTATTGATTATTTAAACAAGTAGTCTACAAATATGAATTATTTAAAGTTATTTTCTTTAATTTTTTTTTTGTGTGTCCTTGTTACTTGGAATCGAATAACAACTTCTTGGGAAACATTTAAGAACCGTTTAGGTACAAATTTAAATAAAGATCAATTATTTTATGAAATTGGTCGCTTAAATTTGTATTAAAGAACAGAAAAACTTACTGATTGGAATAAAAAAAAAATATTTCAACTGATGATCGATAGTTAGAATTTTTTTGTTTTATGAAAGGAAAACTTAATCTAGATGCTAATTTAAAAAACGTTGTATGAATTGGTTTTATGTCTTCCAAGGAAAAGTGCACCTATTGAAAGGCTCTTTTCACATATCAATAAATATTGGACTTCTGAAAAATCACAACTAGAAATATGTTCATTAAAATCAATTATTCAGGTTTATACAAACTTAATGAATCGTGTCATGAAATGTTTAATATGTTGAAAATGGATCAAAAAATACTCAAAGAAATTTATGGATCTCAAAAATATTTAAAATAGTGCTATATTTATTATTAAAATCGTGATATAGTTTATACTTTTGTTATATTTTGTTAGTACGTACGTACGTTAGTTATATGATCGGACCTTGAAGTGTGCACGTGACATTATACGCAGATTTTTAATTTTTATGTTTATTCTTATTCGTTTGTGGTTCATAATGACGAATGCGTCTACATCATCAAGTAGTGCTGGAGTGAAAAGGAAAGCTTTGTCTATTTACGAAAAATTGAACATTATTAAACTGTATGGTGAAAAAATTGGTGTATTCAATAAACAACAAATTGCCGACCAATTAGGATTGCCCACATATTCGTTGCGGACCATATTGAAGAACAAGAAAGAAATTGAAAAAACGCGTTTTCATGAAATACGAAAGTCAGAAAGTTAGATATGGTAAAAATGAGCAATTAGAAAATATTTTGTTGAAGTGGTTTCGACAAGCTCGCACAGCACATTAAACTTGGCTATAAATGGTCTCCTTTGACAGAAAAAGCAAATTAGATCGCAAAAATGGTGAATATAACGGACTTTGGCGGATATAATGGCTGGTTTGATCGTTTAGAAAAAGACACGGTAATGTCTATCGTAAAATTTGTGGGGAAGCCGATGCTGTAGATGACAACAGTATTAAATTGTGAAAAGAGACCATTCTACCAAATTTGTTGAAAGATTATTCACTCGAGGATATATACAGTGCTGATGAGTTTGGCTTGTTCTTTAAACTCATGTCAGATAAATCACTTGTGCTGAAAGACAAAACATGTCATGGTGGTAAGTTAAGCAAGGACTGGTTAACTTTTTTAACTTGCTCAAACAAATCTGGAACTGACAAGCTAAAACTTTTGGTAATAGGTAAATCAAAATCCACCAATGTTTTAAAAATGTACACACTTAACCGTGTGAATGTAAAGCTCAAAATCATGCGTGGATGACTGGGAGTTTATTTATTGAATGGGTTCAACAGCTCAACTGCAAGTTCGTTAAACAGAAAAGAAAAGTTCTTTTATTTGTCGACAATTGCCCTACTCATCCGAAAGATATAACCCTTACAAATATCAAACTTGTGTTTTTTCCGCCAAATGCTACGAGCAAGCTTCAGCCTCTTGATTAAGGTGTGATCAAAGTTTTAAAACAGAAATACCGTAAGAAATTAGTTCAACAGTATTTACAAGAAAATCAATATTTTAGATCATAGATTCTCAACCTTTTCTGGTCCATGGACCCTTTTAAAGTACAAAAAAAAAAAAAAAAAAATGTATATATAATTAAATAAATGCGGGCAAGATATTATTATTGTTATCTTAAAAATGCTATCGAAACAAGTTTATTTCTAGGCGAACCCCCGTAACCATCTACGGACCCCGGTTAAGAACCTATGTTTTAGATGCTATTCATTATGTTTCAATCGCATGGGATTAGATAAAATTAGAAGTAATTAAAAACTGTTTCAACAAAGCCTACTTTGGTAATGTCTTACAAGAAGATCCCACATTTTGAACTCAGACAAATTTCGGGACTTAGAAGAGGTTTTTCCGGGCTACACATACATTGACGACAAATTGATAACGAACAAGGCCCTAAAACTTGAAGAAATTATCAGTCAGGCTACAGTTAACAATGAATCAGATGATCCAAATGATGATGAGGAAGAATACTGTCTACCACTTTCATCAATCGCTAGTACTGTACAATCAATATCTACATGGAGACAGGCACTTACTGCAATTGATGGCTCTGAAAACATGCTTCTATGTCTAGGTAGGATGGAAAATTTCTTATTGAATAATCATAGAAATAATGTACTAAAACAACCAACTATTACTCCATTTTTAATCCAAAAAATAATATTTAAAAGATATATTCCTAGTAATTATTTTTTTTTTGTATGTATATTTGATGTTTTTTTTTTTATTAATTTTAAATATATAAAACTTATGTTAATGTGTAATACATAACAAATCGCATTATGAAAATTGTTTTTATTTATTCTATCTATTATTACATTTAAAACACTTTTAATAGGCGGGATATCGCCTATAATGCTATCCCGCATAATGCGTGGTTTTACGATTCCCCTTCGAGAGCGTCTTAACGAGGTTTTACTGTATTAAATTTTGTTTCATATTAAGTAAGTTAAATGTTTGAGTTAAAATATCATGTCAAAAGTTCTAAAGTTGTTTTTTTTAATAAGTGTTTATCATTATAAGTTTTGTTTTTCATAAAAATCACTAGACTTAAGTTATATAAAAACACATATTTTATTTTTTACTGTTAGTAAGATTAAGAATTTGTGATGCTTTATATTTATATAAAAAAATAAACAAAAAAGTTTAAATTGATGTTGTATTATTATGTATTTATATTAATATTTAAAGAAATATATATGTTACCGTCATTGTCGGTAATTCCGGCAATAACGGTAATGCCTAGACAATGTCAGTAATACCGGTGCATACCAGTCATTGTAGGCAATCGGTGTATATTTCCGTAATTGATTGGTAAGTTTAGTCAATGTTATATTATTGTCATTTATCGTTATTTTCCAAGGTGGTTATCGATTAGTTATCTTAATTTATCGCATTACCTGTTCCTTCTGACAAAATAATCGTACATAATTTTAGTCGTTTAATAGTATCGTACATACTTTCAGTCGTGTTACAGTATCGTTGTGAAGTGTGTGACCTTATAATTTTTGATAATGGAGTTAGCCAATATGCGTGAAAAATTTAATAAATCAATTGATTTATTATTGCTTAAAAAGCATGACAATAAATCATTTTAAGTGTCGAGGAATATAACAAACGGCTGCAAGAAGTAAACATTCCAAAACTTCATTGAATACACCAGGTTTAAAGAAAGTTCCTAAGGTTTATAAGAATGTTCGTAAGTACGATGTAATAACAAGTGGAAAGAGTATCTTATTAAAAGTGTAAAGATACTGCATCTAATGTAATTTACTATGTAACTAACGAGGATTTATTTGATATTCTAAATACATGTACTTATCATTGGTCATGGTGGACGAGATAGATGGTATCTGAACTTAAACAAAATATTGTAATATTACAAAGAAGCCATTATGACGTATTTGAAACTTTGTATCTACTGCGAGAAAAATCGTCTAATCCAAAAGAGGACTAGTTTCCAAACCTATATTACATAAAGCATTTAATTCACGTACGCAGATGGATCTCATAGACATGCAGTCACAAAGTTTTAATGATTTTCGTTACATTATGAATTATCAGGATCATTTAACAAGAGACTTAAGACTCAAAACTAAACGTGCCGAAGAAATTGCTTTTAATTTAATGGATATTTACACCATTATTGAGCACCAGCCATTTTACACTCCGATAATGGAAGAAAATTTGTCAATAAATTATAACAGAACTCAATGAAATGTGGGGACATAAAATCGTGCATGGAAAACGCCAACACAGTCAATCGCAGGGTCAATAGAAAGAGCCAATCGAGATGTTGAAGATATACTGGCTACTTGATGGCGGAAAATAACTCAACTGACTGGCCAACAGCATTAAAATTTATTCAGTTTCAAAACCGTGCGTTTCACTCAGGTACCTAAATAGAGCAAAATAATATACAGGGTGTCCCGTGCAATTAACCCATTCTATAAAATTAATAGGGACAAGAATTACAAATATTTTATATTTGAATTTTGATAAAGTTAAAAGGGAAGTTTATTTTTCTGAACATATTGGCATTTCAACATTTTAATTTCCTGATTTTAATATTTTCTAGTTTTAATAAACACACTAAAAAGCGATCGCCGGCCGTAGAAGCGCGAGTCTATGTTTGATACAATCAAACCACTATCGTATTAAATAATTCGTAGTTTTTTCGAAACTAGAAAAATAGTAAAATGAATGTTGAAACGTCAATATTTTCAGAAAATAAATTCAAAATGGTTATCTTCAATTTTTAAATAAATTAAACATAAAATATAGCCCTTTCCATGTGAATCTTATTAAACCAGAATTATGATATCTCCATTCGATTTATCTTAAGGTATAGGAAGTTGCACCGGTATTACTGACATTGTCTAGGCCAGCCATACTCAACCTGCGGCCCGCCAATGGTTTATATGTGGCCAAACAGAACTCATTGAATTAATAAAAAAATTTTAAAACTAATATAAGTGTAATATAGGTATAACAGACAATTAAAGTGTGTCCTTGGCACTTAGAAGTAACGAGTATAACACAATTAGCTGCATTGATTGTATCTGATTATTCAAAATTATTTGATGAATTTATTGAATTAAAAATGATACAAATTTGGAAGTTATTTTCAAAGAAAAGCGAGAACAAAAAGAATACTTGAATTTTGAATTTAGTGCAGGAAAATCAAACCATACAAAATGTGCCCACTTTTTGCTAACAATGTCACATCAACATTTTTATGTGAAACTTCATATTCAAAATGAAATATGCAAAGAATGTGTACAGAAATCGGTTACTGATTCACATCGACGATTGTTAAGATAGCATGCAGCAACTACAAACAGATTTATCCAAAATAGTTAAGGAATTATTCAATATCAAAATTACACTAATTTAAAATAAATATTTAATTTTTACAAATTTTCAAATGTTGTACACAATATAAAATGTATTTTAGTTCGTTCTTCATTTAGACTTGCGGCCCGCGTAATATTTTAAAATATTTTATGTGGCCCAAATGAAAAAAAAGGTTGAGTATGGCTGGTCTAGGCATTACCGTTATTGCCGGAATTACCGACAATGACGGTAACATATACACACACACGCGCACACATACACTTATAATATATTAACTTATATGACGTACTGTCCTTTCTTTTTTAATATCTGGTCACCATGATTAAAGGTAGTACCCCTTACCGAACATTCTCGAACTTCTCACACGGTCTTCACGAGAATTTTCGCCAACGTCTACAACATAACTGGTGTCGCCACGTCATAAGTTAAACAATTTAATTAGTGATGGGTTTAATCGAATGAGATTAGTAATAAAAAAAAATAATAAGCGAATGATTAGTAAGTTGAAAAAACATAATCAATTAATCGAATGAACTAATCTTTGAACACATTTCGATTAACATTTAAGTATTTAACATTGCTTTGAACTGGTTTGTTATAATGTTTACATTATACAAAATATACATCTGTCATTAATAATTAATATTATTTATAATTTATGTCTTATAAATTATAATATAATAATAATAATAAAAATAAATGAAAATTTCTAATTTTGTACCCATTGGTCTGAATCTAAATGTAAAGAACAAATTATTGTAAACATACAAATATTACGAGCCCCAAATAGAAATATATCCCATAGTATGGTATTTTATATTATTATTATTATTTAAAATATTTTATTCAATCGTGAATGTGATAGGCATAGAGTAACAATAGGTTATGTAGCATCGAATTTATGACTACACTAACTGAGAATAGTGAGAATATTGATGTAAGTTATAACTTACATTGGTTTTAATTTTTACCTATTTTTATCTATTATAAATGAATACCTAATGGCTCCAAATAAAAGATCTATAGTGTGTTTAGCAAACCCTATTATCATATAATTATTTTAGTTAATATAATATAATATAATTAGTTATAAATGAAGTATAACTTATGCTGACAATTAATTTAAGTCAATTTAAGTTGAATAGGTAAAGCCTAGATTAAAGGTGAAAACAACAAGTTGTTTTCACTTTATGCAAAACAATTCATAGTAGATATGAACAAAATATTAAATTAGAGTATAATAATCACGCCACCATTTACGTCATTGACAGGACCTATCAATACGGGTAGAGACTTAGCATTAGTAGAGAAGGTAGTTAACAGTAGACTTGTGCACAACGAGCTTACGACAGTGAGTTCTAGATTTTATTTTAATTGTTTTAAAAATTGTACAAATAAAATATACTTACATTTTATATGTAATTTGTAAAGTAAAATGTTTTTTTATTATTAATATAATTATCATCCTTATACGTCTCAAGACTATGTCGAACGTGCTACGTTATTTATACAATAATCGCGGTATTGATCGCAGTGTTCTGCACAGTGATTCACTACCGGTGATACCCGA